CAAGAGGCCATGAGGGTTCTGATGAACATGACCATGCGCGAGGGCACTCCTGTAAGCGAACATGTTCTTGCTATGATGGCCCAGCTGAATGAGTTGGAGGTTTTTGGGGCTTTTATTGACGGGGAAACCCAGGTCGATATAGTGTTCCAGTCTTTGCCGAAGAGCTTCGAACAATTCCAGTCGAATTACAACATGAATAAGATGTTGATGACTCTTCCGGAACTTGTTGCTGAACTTCAGTCGGCAGAGGGCCTGTTTCGTCAGAAGACCCAAGCTATGGTGGCCCAGCAGGGAGAAGCTTCCACTTCTAAGGCTCCAAAGGGCAAGAAGAGGAAGAAGTCCGCAGGAAAGGGCAAGGCGGTCATGAGTGACGCGCAACCTCGACAAAAGGCGAAGAAGCCGAAAGGCAAGTGCTACAACTGTCAGCAGAAAGGACACTGGAAGGCAAGCTGCCCTCTTCCGAAGAAATCCGACAAAGGTACTCCTTTTGCTTTAGTCGTTGAAACATGTTTAGCGGTGTTATCTACCAGTACCTGGTGTGTAGATACAGGGGCCACTAATCATGTATGCAATTCATTGCAGGGGTTCCAGGAAACCAAGCGACTTAGGGAAGGAGAAGTTACCATTTACTTGGGCGATGCTAGTAGAGCGTCAGCAGTTGCAGTGGGAGATGTCTTTTTAGATTTTGGCTTAGATAGGTTTCTAGTTTTGAAAGATTGTCTTTATGTTCCCAGTTTTAGAAAGAATTTGATTTCAGTTTCTAAGTTGTTTATGAACGGTTTGTTCGCTACGTTTGACAATAAAGTTGTTATTCGTTTTGGCAAAATGTTCATATGTTCTGGTTCATTAGTTGACAATCTATACATTCTAGAATCTAAGTCATCTCCACTGCAACAGAAACACTTACTTAATTCATCATCTAATCTGAATAAGAGAAAGGAACCTTCTAAAATGAACAAAACATATCTTTGGCATCTAAGACTTGGTCATATTAACCTTAGGAGGATTCAAAGGTTGGTAGCAGACGGGCCCTTGGGGTCATTAGAAGACGAGGTTTTTCCAACTTGTGAGTCTTGCCTGGAAGGTAAAATGACTAAGAGGGTTTTTAGTTCAAAGGGGCATAGAGCCGAAGATGTGTTAGGGCTAGTTCATTCCGATCTATGTGGTCCTATGAGTATTCAGGAGAGAGGTGGTTTCGAGTACTTCGTTACGTTTATCGATGATTACTCGAGATATGGGTACATTTTCCTTCTGCACCGCAAGTCCGAATGCTTTGAGAAGTTCTTGGAGTATAAGGCAGTTGTGGAGAAGCAGTTAGGAAAAAGTATCAAGTAATTACGATCCGATCTTAGTGGTGAATATCTCTCGAATGAATTTAGAAACTACTTGACGAACAATGGGATTACGTCCCAGCTGACTACGCCTGGCACGCCTCAGCAGAATGTCATAGCAGAACGGTGGAACAGGACTCTTATGGAAATGGTTAGGGCAATGATGAGTTATAGTAGTTTACCAGATTCGTTTTGGGGATATGCCCTAGAAACAGCGGTATACATTTTGAATAGAGTACCTTCTAAATCAGTACCGTCTACACCATTGGAGTTGTGGTCTAGGCATAAGCCTAGTCTAAGGCATCTCAGGATTTGGGGTAGTCCAGCACATATGCTGAGAACCGATACTGATAAGTTTGAACCGAGATCAGAAGTAAGGCTGTTTGTGGGATATCCTAAGGAAAAGAAAGGTGGTCTATTTTATAGTCCCGAGGACCAGAAAGTAATCGTAAGCACGAATGCTACGTTCTTGGAATAAGATTATGTCTTAGATCATAAGCCAGTAGTAGACATGTTCTTGAGGAGTTAAAGGGAGTGAGTACTTCAATACCGAGTGCGCTATATTTTACACCACAAAGTACTGCAACACGTATCGCTGATGATGCACCTGAGCAGGTAGTACCTCGTCGTAGTGGGAGGGTTGTCCAGCAGCTCGAACGGTTCATGGGTCTGGGAGAGTCTTCTGAGGCTGAACGTTCTTGAATCCGACCCATGGACATACAATGAGGCACTCCAAGATCGGGACGCAGAGTCTTAGCAAAAGGCGATGAAATCTGAAATAGAGTCAATGGACACTAATCAGGTATGGGATCTTGTAGAGCCACCCAGTGGCGTTCGCGCCATTAGATGCAAGTGGGTCTATAAGAGAAAGAGAGGAGCAGATGGGAAGGTTGAGACCTTCAAAGCTAGGCTTGTTGCGAAAGGGTACACTCAGAAAGAAGTGATCGATTATGAGGAAACCTTTTCACCGGTAGCCATGCTCAAATCCATCAGGATTCTCTTGGCTGTGGCCGCTCATATGGATTATGAGACTTGGCAAATGGATGTTAAGACCACTTTCCTTAACGGGAATTTGGACGAGGACATCTATATGCAGCAACCAGAAGGATTCATTGCAAAGGGCCAAGAGCATCTGGTCTGCAAGCTGTAATGGTCCATTTATGGGCTGAAGCAGGCTTCGAGATCTTGGAACATCCATTTTGACGAGGCTGTCCAATCGTATGGATTTACCCAATGTCCGGATGAGCACTATGTGTACAAGAAAAGTGATGGAAACGTGGTGGTGTTTCTAGTGCTGTACGTGGATGATATTCTTCTCATTGGAAACAGTGTGAAGATGTTATCAGACGTAAAGGTATGGTTATCCAAGCAGTTTGATATGAAGGATTTGGGTGAAGTAGGACATGTTCTCGGAATCAAGGCCATTCACGACCGAGAGAAGAGAAAGTTGTGCCTATCCCAATCCACATACATAGACACTGTCCTAAAGCGTTTCAACATGCAGGATTCCAAGAAAGGGGATTTACCCTTTCGGCATGGAGTACTTCTATCTAAGAGGATGTCCCCGAAGACGCCTCAAGAGATAGAGGACATGAAGGCAGTTCTTTATGCATCGGCAGTAGGAAGCCTAATGTATGCTATGTTGTGCACGCGACCTGATATTTTAAGATATCAGAGTAATCCAGGACCGGAACATTGGTCTGCGGTAAAGCATATACTCAAGTACCTACGTAGGACTAAGGAGTACATGTTGATTTACCAGGCAAATGAATTGCTTCCGTTGGGTTACACCGATTCTGACTTCCAGGCAGATCGGGACGAAAGCAAGTCAACCTCAGGGTTTGTGTTTACTTTAGGAAGAGGAGCCATAGTATGGAGGAGTGTGAAGCAAAAATGCGTGGCGGACTCAACCATGGAGGCTGAGTATGTAGCAGCCTCAGAGGCAGCGAAAGAAGCTATCTGGCTCATGAATTTTCTCCTCGACCTTGATGTGATACTGAGTTTGCCCGCTGCGATTACAGTGTTCTGTGATAACAGCGGAGCAGTAGCAAATTCGAAGGAGCCACGGACTCATAAAGTGAGTAAACACATAGAGCGCAAGTACCATCTGATACGAGAAATCGTTGGACGAGGAGAAGTCGTTGTTGCCAAGATACAATCAGAGGACAATCATGTTTCGAAGAGCCCACCGGCGAAAGTCTTTACAAGACACGCAGAAGGAATGGGAGTCAGATGTTAGGGCAACATAGTAGACTAGTCTATGAGAATTAGATTGAAAGAAATTGTGGTTATTTTGTTTAGCCATGAGCTTATAAAGC